CTGTTGTTCTTGTTGAAATTGTTCGTCACGCTTACCTGTTTCTTTATTTAAGTGTTATACACTGGAAGAGTGCTTCAGGCCACATGTTGTCTATGCGCCGCTTTGATGAGTGACGATTGAACATTGCACTAGTTATTCTTGGCAAATCGAGAACATACTGCTTTCGCATTTTCCCTCTCTGGCCGGTGGTTTCTCTTCAAATGCACTTCTTGTATTCATGGGGTGAGAGGCCACGATTTAATTTTTGGTGTCAAAAAATGAAGAGAGAGATATGAATGATGGTGAGGAAAACCGTATGGCTGTGGCAGTGATTTTCACCTTTTCAAATTCTCTCATTGTCAATGCTAAGGTGTGTTTCAAACAATTGAGGTCCTCATTTTCGCCCCGATCGAAGGGGTGCGTTGTTCAGTGAGGACTTTTTCCTTAATATCCTCTTTGTGACTCACTTGTTCAAGCATTCATTGCGCCTTCAATACCTCTGAACTACCTTATCAATAATATTTCTATTATCTTCAAAAATGCCTTGCTAAAGCTTTCGGCAGCCAGCTGGTAGTAAGCTCTATCTTAGGTTGTTAATACATACAACTTGGGAAAAGAACAGTATTGCTAGGTTTTTTAAAAGGAATTCCTGAGTGATATGATACGTTTACACAGCACTATTTGCATTTATTTGCTCAAATTCCAGAGGATCAAAAGACCGAGGCATGGTCGCGAATTCTCGCCGAGTGTACGTCGCGTGGTCATCATTGGGTGAAAGGGAAGGATGTTACATACCTGAAAAAATCAAAGTGGCCTGGGATAAAAAGAGATGCTATAGTAAGTTCTGTTCCGGAGGCTCTTGTTCTCTTTGTTTTTCAAAATCATATGTTGTTGATTCTCATTAATATGGAATGGAATTTTCGAAATCCATTGACTGTATTGTTGCCTTCGTGACCTTCCTAGTAAATTAAAACTTCAAATGACCATTTGATGGGGAGGATGATTGTTCTGGGCATCCCGTTTAAATGCTTAAATCCACAAGAAGTGAACCCAAACAAGAATGGGGTCGCGCGTCATTCCATGATGCAAAAAATGGAAATTGCAAACGCTTATTTTCTTCGATCCTATCACCGTGGCATGTCTTTCTTTTTTCTATTCTCGCACTGTAATTTAGCCACAGTGCGAATAGTCATTCACATGGCACAGTTGGGAAAACGGTCAGTAAGAATTGTTCCGGGGAACGGCTTGATAATAATGGCAGATGGGTGGAAATGGTGAAGCAAAAGTGTATGAAAAACAAGTTTAAGGACCTCACAAGTAAAAGTCCCCTTTTTTTCTATCGAATTTTAACTTTTTTTTTTTGCTCCAGGAACACTATCAAGCTGATATGAAAAGCGATGTTTCACATAGGAAGAAGCTAACCGAGGCAGATGTTATAGTTCTGAAGGCAATCAGTTTCAACACCGGAAACCTAGGTAGTTTCGCTTTTTTATTCTCTACTTATTAAGCCGCTTATTAACTAGGTGCGCTTGCACCTATACCTTACGAAATCTTACGCCATTGTTTGAGAGTTATTCGTATCTGTTCTTCCAGAACCAAGATTGATGTAACTAAGGTTAGATTGAGAGTTTTAGGCTCACTGATGAAAAAAGAAAACTCTGCCCTCGGTACAGATATATATGACGGTGACGTTACGCAACCAGTTACAGTCGAGGTGAAAACGGGTGAACCACTCGATCTGCTCGCCTGCGGAATGCAACTATCTGGAGGTAATGGTTAACATTTTTTTTGCAAGGAGAGCCGATTGGGGTTAGTATTTTATGGTTATCAAATTCGTGCTACTTATGCTCCTCCTTTTTCTAGTTTCCATCCTCATTTTCCTGCGGAGTCAATCGTGTATTTATTGCGAGAGCACAAAGACCTATTTTAGATATCGAAAAGTTCGACAATGGACTGCTGGTGAACTTGTTCTCAAAAAACCATCAGGAATCACGAAAAACAACTATATCTTCGTCTGAGCAGGTAAATTTCGGGCAAGAAATCTTCCTAAGCAACGGTTTGCCGCTGTGCATGTGTGTATGTCGCCAGCTGCAATCCCCATACCTGCGCCATATTAACGAATGGCCAATACTAAACGCAAATTTCTTCAGCAAACTCATGTTATTGTTGAGTGTTTTTGCGAAGCCCGCTTCTGAAAATAATTGTAGGAGAGCTTTATGAAGTGAAATCCCGATACATGTAGTGCGGGCATGTATTCAGATGCGCCATTGTGGAATTTCTGCCAGTGCATTTTATGGAAACCTTTCATAGCATTCAATGTGTGAACTTTCTCAGCGACTGGCATGGATCCCCATTCCAAATGAGCCTCTATCGACAGATGAAGAACAGAATAATTAAATCGCCAATCAGTTGTGTTAATCACTTCAGGAACATCGCTACTCCAAGCGGCATCGCATTGATGATGATGGTCCTATAGATCATGATTTGATGGCTGCTCTGGGTTTTGGAAAAAATCGTAACAGAGGTATGTTCAGTTTGCGGTCGGTAGCATTATACTGGAACACAGAAAATCTGAAGTTTTTTCCGCACTAGCATGACTTTTAGATTTGTATAACAATTCTAATGAGAACCAACATCTTTTGATTAACATTTGATTGGCTACGTGCGGTACCACAGCGCGCGTTAGCAGAAGAAGAGGATCGCTTAGTCTTTATTCTGCTTTTCTTAAAAGTTTCAAAGTTTGAACATCTTAACATTGTTTTCCGAATTTGGTTTAATCTTTGCCATTTGCACAATCTAGTTTTTTGGAACCTTCTAAGAAGCGAAACTTCAGAACATGCCTTCTAATGGGGGAAATGTTTCTAGGTGTTGTGAATTCATCGGAGCGATACGTTCAAAACTCTGTAGAAAATGACAGCGGCACTTCGGAGCGTGTTACTACCGTTGGTGATGTATGTTTAAAATTGACGAAATTTATTTTTCATTGTAGTTATGTTTTATTCATTTGAGCTGGTGCTCTATTGTTCGTGTGACATTGGTTTTATTTCATTTTCGCCTTTCAGTACGTTCGATCAGTGAATTCAATTCCTCCTGCACCAAAGGATGACGAACCCCTCTTTGCAGTCCGCTGTCCGAGCCCCGAAAGAAAGCCATTAGTGGAACATCCAAAATGCCCCATTTTCGTATAACTAAAGGTAGGGATTCGCAATCTGTTGTGGAATTTCTGTGTTTTTTTATTGGATGCTAATGACCTTTGTTTTGCTTTACTTTAACACAACATGCAATAGTAGTAAAATATTTGCTCTTCAGTGTCGACCGTCAGCTCTGTTTCGACAGTTGCGTCTCCTAAGGAAAGCGCTCGCGATCTGAAGAGTCTTCAAAAGCGAGCGTATGAAGCACAAATCTCTAGGGTTCGTGTTCGTTATCATGTTTACTGCGGGAGAAACAAGCTCTTGTGCTGATTTTTTAGGAGGAGGCGATGACCAAATACTATCAAATGAAGATCAAGAAACTCGAATTGGAGATCGCCCAATTGCAGCGCAATAGAAGTGAAAATGAGAGTGTGATTGTAAGCGTTTTATTAGTATTCCAATTCTTGTAGAGAGCTCTTTTTTGCCTCAGGTTTTTGATCTCTGCTTTCGCCGTACCTGATACGCCTTCCTCATTGCGGGTCCTTATGTAGTGTATTTGTTCGTTTTTAAGAGTTTAGACAGCGTTATATTTTGATCAACCGGTGTGTTCTACAGATGAAAGTCAGTGCAATTGTTGTTTTCTAATAGAACTTTTCAATAAAGTTTATATTTTGAATGTCTGATCTTTACGGAATGCTATATTTTTATCTTTAAGGGGTTCCAGCTAGTAGGAGTGCTAAGCGGAAATTACGGTTTTGTGATAGTTTATATGATAGTTTATAGTCACACGTTTTCTGCTAGCTCTAGGAACAAATCGAACTGATTCGTTGGGCAATGTTCACGGTCTGCGACTCCAGAGAACAGACGAATTTGCGAAAAGGATTACTATTTAGCGCGAGAATCAGCGCTTGTGGGGAGGCGTAAGATAAAAGAATGAACCTTAAGCGAAAAAGAATAAACAGGAATTCGTTAGTTGACTCCATCGATCGGGATCAGTTGAGGCGAAGAAAGGGGCGCGATTCTTCTATCTTCGATTGATTCGTATGCAACTTTTGCGGTTTTACCACTTTCGATTTCTGATTCGCTGAGGCCGAAGGAAGTGAACGTTCCCGGAAGGCATGCCCCAGATCAGGTGGTGCACAGCGAATGTGAAAGTATTGGTACGGAATGCGCTAGCATTGATGAGGATATGAAAGGAATTTGTCGAAAACGCAGAAATTAAGGGCTTGCTCGCCATCGTAATGCGGCTCTGTTGAGGCAATGAGAGGCTAGATGGGGAGAGGACAGCACGCAATGAGAGAATGCAGCAGATGAGAGGGCGCTAGACGACAGCCTGCTGCGGACGGGGAGGATTGAAGCAGTTGAAGCTGTCTCTGAAATGCAGTAGCGCCCCTGTTGGGCGATTTCGATGCATTGGAGTGCCACATCTGTGATTACCCTTTGATTATTGATTACCCTTACGCAAGCTTCGGCAGGAAGCGGATGGTCGGCGACTGCCGAGAGACACTTGGTCATAAAGATAAACCTGGTCTACAAGAAGATTAGGTATGCACAAATTTTCGGTGAAGGTTCCCCGAAGCCTGCGAAATCTGAAACTTCCCTGTCATCTTTAGATTTTTTTCGTCGAATTATCAGGGAGTAAAAAGAATCACATGCGGTCGATACGGAACTTCATGAATGGTAAAACTTGAAAATTATTGTAGGGTCTGCTGACAGAACTCTCCAGAGTAGGCGCGAAGGAATTCACCATTCGATCGAAAAGCTGTTCTCCATGTTAGTCATAAGGACAGAGATTCATCTCAGCAGACACGGGGCAAAATACGTTTGGGCACTATTGTCTATTTTAACCTTAAAAAAATTCAAAAAAATCCTCTAAAAACTGGTCTGTAGAGTTATCTCAGTGGGCCCTGATCTATGACGTAATGTAGCTTTGCCCACATTTTTCAAAAACTTTGCTCCAACAAACTTATTTATGAGGGTTGACGTACTGAACACGAGTACGAAATCCGTTTCTAGCGCTGGCGTCATCTGCTGCCAGTCTGACGCAGTTTGCAAGCTAATTCGACGCCAAGCTGGTGCCAAACGGCGTCAACGTCAAGAATGGATGTCATATTCGCGAACTGAGCATTGACTTACTCCTACGAGTGGAGAGAAGCAAAAGTTTTACCACCCCCCTCCCCCTCCGGGATTGTGCTGTTGCGGATGTGTGGGTTGTAGAGGTGCGCTACCGCCGAAAATGTAATGTGGAGAATATTGTGAGACTAAAAGTTTGGTTCCAAAGCACAAACGTGATTGACGGTTGCGTAGGCGTACTTGGTAGGTATTGTATATTCGCTCGCGAGACGTCAAAATACTAACAACCCGTCTCGCTTCTCTCCTCTTTGCCACCACGCACTTGTAGTTTACGATTCAAAAATAGTGCTTCGTATTTTTGTAATCAGCATCGAGAACTCTGTGCAAGTGATGTACAATTTGCAGGGTCCACTTTAATCTGAATTTTTCTTTGATCTTGGCTTTCAATACTGACCTGTGCTTGTGGCAGCTCAATTTGATCTACGGTCGATGGCTGCGCCGACCCCTCGTTTGGCCGTCTGCCTTCTCCGCAACACCACAGTCTCTCGCTTTTTGCCAGTCCCTCGATTTCGGCGCATGCGCGTTTTTTTTCGACGGCCAACGGCATCGAGGTCGGTCAAGGCGGTTACCGTATACGTAGTTGTGTGGCAGTGAAGATCAAGGGAAAGTCAGTTTTGAGTCTTGTAATACAAAACGGATATGATTCTATAGCATCTTCGACGCTGATACCGAATACGGGTCTTCTGTTTTGAATCAGTGGGTTTAGAGCAGCGTACACAGCGTAGAGGTATGAGCATGAGCCCCTGCGGAGAATCAATCAATACGAACGGTGCCGTCCGAGCCAAGCCTTTTGGCGATCTTAACAAGATGAACTTATACTATAGGTAACATGTAAGTATCTGGAGGGTAACTACTGCTAGACCAATTGGGTTCTCCACCCTCCTGGAGAGGATATATAGTACAAGGGAAAAAAATGACCTGAAGATGAAGCTGCATCGGTAGCTAAACTTGTAGGCATTCAGGTACGTGCACTCAAACAAACCTCGGCTCTATACAAGTGGGGTGGGCACACCCAGCTTTTCACGCATGTCAAGTGACTGCCCTCACCCCCCCCCTAGATTGGCTACACTCCCCCTGGCTCACGAACTCCCCAATTCTCGTGACAGTATAGTAGCGGGCAGCAGTCCACTTACATACAGGGGGGGGGGGGAAAAAAAAAGACATTTTGCCCAGGTCGCACTTCGGGCCTTTTTTCTTCGCAGAGATTGCCGTCGTTGACGGAAGTTCCTCAGCAAAATATTCCCTAAATGTCCCTCTATAAGTACACGCAGGCCCTCCTTCACTACCCTCACCGTCTTCAGAATATGACGTCATCTGTCACCGTCGTCGAGCTCAGGGAGGCCTACAGTAACTGCTTCAGCCTGAAGCTCTTACATAATTTCTTGGATCGATTCAACGTGGGATAGTTTCCTAGGGACATTAGCTCTAACTATGCAAACCCCCTCGAACCCGCGCTCGAAGATTTGGAGGCCGTTAGTAGCGGTACACGATCAGTCGAGAACCATTTGCCTCCCTGGGGCGGTATTCAATCCTTCCCCCAGGGGGATATATCCCCCTCCTCTGATTCAATCCTCTGGGGGGACAAAAAAGGGTTGCGTCATAGGACCTAGCATACCTCTGTGTTTCTACCTGCCAGACAGTTAGAGCAGCGCTACTACCCTCCACTGATGAAGCACTCTTTTCCCTGAGGGGTCGCGCTGCTCTAACTGTCTGGCAGGTAGAAACACAGAGGTATGCTAGGTCCTATGACGCAACCCTTTTTTGTCCCCCCAGAGGATTGAATCAGAGTAGGGGGATATATCCCCCTGGGGGAAGGATTGAATACCGCCCAGAGCACATGTTTCCAAGAGCGCTGTCCACGTAGATGGCCAATGAAGATTTTCTTATGAAATGAAATGCGCTCTTCAATTCTAAGTTGGGAGCACACGCTTTGAGCTGAGCAAAGTGTGATTAAATCCATTTGAGTCTGGAGACAAAATGTCTTTTTTATTGGGTCCCCTGTTACATTTCTGTTCAAAAAATGCGGTGTGCCCACCCTACTTGTATAGCACCTACACCTCCACAGATCCGCTTGTAAACAGATTGTTTGGCGCGTTCTGAGAGAATAATAAACTTTTTGCACTCCATGTCTTTGTGATTTAGTCATAGCTATACGAAGTGATTGGCACAGAGCGCGCCAAGTTCTTCTGCGCCGGGTTGCCGCGCGCGACGTCCGCTCGCCGCTCGCGTAAAGTCGAACATCTTGCGGTTATTCATAATTTGTCGTCGCTTTTTCATTGGTGGACATAATTTCGGCGCGATGTTTCGCCGTCCATCAATCGTCCACGACATCGACGAGGCATCTGGAGCACATCTTGGCTTATCGAGCAGCTAAACGTAACGAAAACATCACCACAAACACCGAATCGCTAATAACATTGGTCGAATCATTTCCGACGAATTGTGGCTGGCAACGACGCGCACTTTTGAAACGAGGTTCAAATCGATTAGCTTTTTGTATAAGTACACTGGTGACTAGCATGAGGCAGGTTCGTCCGTCCTGATCAGCCGCTGTCCCTTGCACAGCCAATTCGCGGAAAAATATCAAACGGAAAAATATACAAAAAATAGGGGCAGAAGGTGCAGAGTTTCTCGGCGTCCTTGGAATTATTTGGTCTCAGTACGGTAGGGTTAGCCGATTCGAGGAGTCTTCGATAGGGGGTCGAGTGTAACTCTCTGGAGGGTAATGGCGGCGTTTTTTCGGGAGGAGAGAAAACTAAATAGAGCTTAGTGAATCTTGGGCGACCTTCACCCTTCCCCTTTGAACCTTTATGAAGAAAGTCTGGTATAGTTGCAAATGAAATAGATGAGGGTTTAGTAGGGAATGGAGATGACTCTGAGAGTTGTGTACCCTAACTGAGAGAGGCGTGTTAGCCCTTTGTCGTTTAGAGAACACTCTTGAGAAGCCCTTCTCTATCTATGAAGCCTTTCGAAAAAAGCCAAGATGGGAAGATGAGGATGGGAGTAAGAATGGTGACTACTGATAGGAAGTAAGCAAACCAGCCCTTTTGGCGTTTCTGCTGGGGCCGTATGCTGAATGTTGGGGAGGGGATGGGGTCCCCGACGGTCGACGGACTACTTCAACTCGGTCCTTAAAACCGCCTCAATTTGATGCTTACCTCAGGACTAAGCCTTAAAGAGAGGACGGACCTGCGAGAGCGTAGGTCCGTCCTCTCTCCAAGGCTTAGTCCTCTCTCGCAGGTCCGTCCTTCTCTTTAAGGCTTAGTCCTGAGGTAAGCATCAAATTGAGGCGGTTTAAGGACCGAGTTGAAGTAGTCCGTCGACCGTCGGGGACCCC